AGTTTTCTGGCAACAGGAAAACCATTTCCCTCCCCACTGTACGTCCCAGGCCCCTTACCCCATCCTGGGTTGTGTAGGTGCTATCAGGATGCAAACAGTTACACATATTAACCTATGAGATCCCCTGCCTATGCCCTCTGTGTGCTGCCTATGTTACAGAACTGCAATAGCGGAAAGGGCATAAGGCGTTTAGGAACAGGTTGAATCTCTCTCGTACAGCACCCTTGGGGACCTGACTGGTGCCGAACCAGAGAATTTGCCAACCCATAGGAGATCAATATTGTCTAGCAGCCTTACCAACACTGCCACTGCTTACTGGCCTCCTAGAAGAAGGGGTAAATCAGAGCTAAATAACAGCACAGAACACTGAGAGCCAGGACTGGGGGCTGTAAACTAACTTCATGGGTCCATGGGAAACTCGGCCACAGCCATGGTAAGTGGACATCCTGCTGACTGAAATCATGCTGAGCCATGGATGTTGCCGGGTCAGGGAGTGCCAGGCTAGAGAGGTTCAACCTCTGGCCAGGCTGTGTCTAGTCTGGCCAGTTTTTCCGGAAAATCAGCCGCTTTTCCAGAAAAACTTGCCAGCTGTCTACACTGGCCGCTTGAATTTCTGCAAAAGCACTGACTTCCTACTGTAAGAAATCAGTGCTTTTTGCGGAAATACTATGCTGCTCCCGTTCGGGCAAAAGTCCCTTTTGCGCAAAACTTTTGTGCAAAAGGGCCAGTGTAAACAGCTCAGATTTGTTTTCCGCAAAAAATCCCCGATTGCGAAAATGGCGATCGGGGCTTTTTTGCGGAAAAGCGCATCTAGAATGGCCACGGACGCTTTTCCGTAAAAAGTGCTTTTGCGGAAAAGCGTCCGTGCCAGTCTAGATGCTCTGTTCCGAAAATGCTTTTAACGGAAAACTTTTCCATTAAAAGCATTTGCGGAAAATCGTGCCAGTCTAGACACAGCCGTAGTGTGGTTTGTATTGCTCCAGAGATAAGGCCAAGGGACAGAATGAAATAGACCTAAATCTTTGTTTTCAAAAGAACCCCCCTAAAACTAACCCGAACTGGCTTGCGTGGACAGCAAACGGCCCCCATTTTCAAGGCTGTACTACACTGCAGTTACACACCCTGGATTGGCCCACGGAGGCGACTTGGGCTTGGGCTTGGGCTGTTCAGTTGCAGTGCAGACATTCGACTTGTGCTGGACCGGGGCATTGCTAACCCCTGCCAGAGGTCCTCCCCGCTTGGGCTACGTCTAGACTGATGCTTTTTTCCAGTAAAAGGTACGCAACTTGTGCTCCGCAATTTGTGTATTTTTTTCCGATTTTTTTTTTTTGGAGGAGGCTTTTCTTAAATTTGGGCTGTCTACAAGGAGCCAAATTTTGGAAAAACGTCCTCTTTTGGAAGAGCCCTCTTCCTCAGAAAATGAGGAATACAGGGCTTCCGAGAGCGCGTCCGCTGTTCCAAAAAAAATCTCGGCAGAGCAGCCGCATTCCCTGTGCGTGGCGGAGTTTTTTGAAAAACTCCATGGTCTAGACATAGCTTTGCAAGGCCCCAGCACTCAGACTCCCGCTGCACTGCAATGTTACAGCCCTGCGGCCCGAGCCAGCTGCTACAGGCCAGCCCTGGGGTTTTGGTTGCAATGCAGAAGCCCTGAAGCCACTGAGAAGGGTGAGTGACGTCTGCGCTGCAGCTTTAGCTAAGAGCCATGTGGCTTTTAGCTCATGCGCCAGTGGCATAGCCAGCAGGGCCCACTTGGGTGGGGCAAGAATGGGGGATGGGGGAGTGAGCCCAACCCTGCTCCCCGGCTGGAGCCCCAGGGCACAGCAAGCAAGTCCAGAGCATGGGGTGTGAGCCTACCTGCAAAGCGGGCAGCATGGCCCACTCAGGCCCACCCATGGCTATGCCTGTCATGAGGCTCATGGCTTTAGCTCGTTCGGTCCCACCTGCTGCCGGCCAGGGCCTGCTGGCTTCACACACTGCAGGGCAGACGTACCCCGAGAGGCCAGACGGTTCTCATGCCTGTCAGCATTTGATGTGGACGCATGGGGAGATTTTAGGGAGGAAAACTAAGACAGGCCTTGGAGCAGTGAGAAACCCTTGGGCGGGGCAGCACCTGGATGGGAGCAGGGTAAAGGTTTTACTAAAAAGCACCTGTCTCTCCAGCTCAGGGAGGGCTGTTATGGGAGGGGGGTGTCTGTGTCTCAACTGTCTGTGTACTTGCTGCATGGGGAGGGGTGAAACCCAGCTGCTCAGCTTTGCTCCAGCCAGAAAATGGTCCATGTCTCCTGCTGGCAGGGTGACAATGCTGGTAAATGGATTCTTTCGTGTGAACGTGCCCCTGCCGCTGCGTGCCTGTGAGCCACCCAGCTCTGGACAGGGGGCAGGCAGGGGGAATGGGGCAGGTGGAAGGACAGGGAGAGAGGAAAGGCAGAACCCCAGGGAGCAAGGAGGAGACAAGCCGGGGAGCGAGGGAGCCAGGGCGAAGGGCTGGGGAGGGACTGATGGAGGTGAGGAGCAGGGAGTGAGTGGGGGGCGCTGCGCAGTCCATTCCAGCGGCAGTGCCTCCTCCCTGGGAGAGCCTGCTAAGGCACCCAGAGCGGGGGCAGCCGGAGGGGAGTCTGGTGGCAGGGAACAGATTAGCTCAGCTGGTTGGGATGAGCAGCCAGAGGCCTTGAGCCAGTCGCACTGTCTCTTGGTCCTGCCCTTCCTCTCTCTCCCAGGGGAAGGTGACCTGACGTCTCCCTGATGGTGCCGTGGGCGAAGGCTTTGAAGATGGGGTGGCGCACAGCAGGGCAGCACAGCGCGCTCAGCCTGGGCCTGCAGCCGCCATGGGTTTGCACTGGGAAAGCCTGGGGACCAAACCCCCTGCAAAGTCCTGCCATCCCTGCATCAGCCTCCCAAGTGCACATGCAGCTCTGCTGATGCATCTCAGGCTGCCCCTGCTCTTCCAGTCCCGGCTCCCTCCTGAGCAGACGCAGCCAATCACGGCACACGGCAGCACCAGTGCTCGTGTGGCAGGACCGTGGGGCGTCCGCTCAGTTCACTTCACTCGTGTCGCCGATCTCCCCGGGAAAAGGCCTGGGGGTGGCATCCATCGACTTTCATGGGCTGGGCGAGTAGAAATGGAAGCGGGGTGAATAGGAGCCGTTCTGCCTGCTGCCTGAACTTCTTGGGCGTTGAGTCCTGGCCCTACCCCACCCTCTCACCGCCTCTGCCTTGGCCCATGGCTGCACCCTCGTGCAAATGTCAGTTCCCCACGACCGCCACGCCAGGGATCAAAGCTCCACTCTAGGCAAAGTCTGTGTTCAGGACTGGCTGGGGCGAAGATGCTGCTTTTGCTGGCAGATGGCCTGGGTCACAGTGAGAGATGAGCAGCTCTGAGTGGTGCCCACTGCCCTGTACATAGGGCACTCTCCATTTCACCCCAGCACAGCCCCACGGGGCAGTGCCCTTGCTGCTGTCACCAGGATGCGTATGCACCCCGGGTTTCCTCGCGGACTGTAGCAGGACCTGTGGGTTTTGTAGTGCCATGGCTGCATGTTTATAATGGAGCAGTGGGGGAATCCTTTTTCTGGTACAAGTACAGCTTTGGGCTGTGTGGCCAGAGGTGTGTGCACAAGGTCAGAGTTTGGGTGCTCTCCTTTCTTCCTTTGGTCAGGATCCTGAACACGACCACCTCATGGTCACTGCCTCCCAGGTTGCCACCCACCTCTGCTTCCCCTACTAGTTCCTCCCTGTTTGTGAGCAGCGTTGTGGAGGAGCGGAGGCTTGGTATGTGAGAGCAAGCATCTCTCAGCAGGGCAGCGGGACCTGCTGGCCCCGGCAGGGCAGGCTGTATTGGAGACCAGGGCCCTTGGGGGGAGGAGAGGGGGACCTGTCAGCAGCGCTGGTCATTTGGGTGTCTGCTGCTGGCTTTACGCTCCAGGGTGTTAATCCTCGGCACTCGGCTAGAGACCCCCCTCCCCCGCAGTGCACTAGGGCCTGCCATGGACAGGGGCCGGGGCATCCCTGTCTGCGACAGGCCCCTCCAGGCTGGAGCAGCCAGATGGTTTCCCAAAAAATACCGAAGACGTGTGCTAAAAATGTGTTGAGCAAAAACCAAAAAAACCCCACAGGCGAGGATCGCGGCCCCGCCTCCCCAGCCACTCCCCCCGTCAGGCTTCCGTCGGGCGCCCAGCGGCGCTTGCCATCTCGCTAAGCCTGCCTGACAATGGGTGCATTGGCCTGGCCTGGAAATCGGGGCTCAGGAACAGGCAGCGCCTGCTGGAACGCTGATCCCCACGTGGATTCTCTGTCTCCAGCCCGGGTGTTGCATGTGGCAAGGCCTGGCCAGGCCGGGTTCCCTACAGACTCTGCCTCGTGCCCCTCCCTCAGCCCCTGGGCAGCGCGAGGGCCTGCGGCTGCATCTGCTCAGGGCTCTGTGGCATTCTCCCACCACCCCTCTAGCGCCTGGACGGGACACCCAGCAGTGACGCGGCCGCTGCTCCTTTCCTTTGGGGGCTGCGCCAGTGCTTCAGCAAAGCCTGGCTGTCGACAGGGCCAGAGTGCATCCGTAGCAGGGCTCAGGAATGCAGGAGCTGGTCCCAGGGACTAAGAAGCCAGCAGGGCCCTGTCCTGGTCACATGTCCCCCACACTGGTGCTCTGCAAACTGGCTGAGGGTCTCCCCCATGCCTGCCCTGCCCAGGGAAGCAAGGAGGGAGCGCTGGGGAGTGTGATGGGCCAGCTGCGCTGTAGGCTGGTAACGGCTCAGGGCTGTGGCTGATTGGGGAGCTGGGCCTGGCAGGGACCCTTGGGGCCGGGGGCTTGCCCCACTGCTGTTGGGCTGCCCGATGGACGGCTCGTTCACCGTGCAGTGTCACTGAGTTCGGAGGCCCTCGGCGTGGCTCTTACCAAGGCATGGGGAGCGCCTGGAACGCTGCTGGGTGCCTCCCCGCAGACGCCTGGGAGATGGTTTCAAAGGCCAGGATGGCGTTTAATCCCCTCCCTCTCCTCACCTATGCAGCTGCAGAATAATTAGTCACCATGACGACAGAGACGGGGCCAGACTCAGAGGTGAAGAATGCCCAGGAGGAACCCCCGCAGCAGCAGCTGGAGGCAGCGGCAACCGGCCCAACCGCGGTGACCACCGGCCCCGGCCCGACGGCCAACAGCCGGGAAGCTGAGGCCAACGAAAAGCCCAGAGCCCAGGCCGACTCCAGAAGTGCCGAGCCGGTGAGTGGGTGTCCGGCCAGGGTGGGCCACTGAGGTGCTCTGCCCTGTGGGTCCCAGGGCTTGGTTCCGGGTGGGCTGCCGCCTGGTCCCAGCAGGCAGGTGCACACCTCATCCAGGGCCACTCAGCAGAGGGAGGGAGGGAGATGGAGTCTCCCCAGGGCAGGCACAGAGAAGCTGTGGAGGCCGTTGGTGTCTCCAGGCCTGGCATCGCTGGCCCTTTCCCCTTGCCAATGACGGCAGTGCCCCTGCAGAGTGAGATCAGCTAGACCCACTGGGCGAACAGTTTCCACAAGCCCCTGCGCCCCGGAACCACCAGGATGGCCCTGAGGATGTGAGCATCAGTATTATTAATGTCCAACCAGCTGCTCCATTTGCCACCGGGCAATGCCCAGTGGACTCATCCTGCCGTTGCTCACAGAGGGTATGTCTACACTACCACCCTAGTTCGAACTAGGGTGGTTAATGTAGGCAACCAAAGTTGCAAATGAAGCCCGGAATTTGAATTTCCCGGGCTTCATTTGCATCTTGCCAGGTGCCGCCACTTTTAAAGCCCCGCTAGTTCGGACGAGGAGTAACGGTAGTTTGGACTAGGAAGCCTAATCTGAACTACCTAGTTTGTGCCGCGTGTAGCCGCGCGGCACGGAGTCCGAACTAGCGGGGCTTTAAAAATGGCGCGCCCGGCAAGATGCAAATGAAGCCCGGGAAATTCAAATTCCGGGCTTCATTTGCAACTTTGGTTGCCTACATTAACCACCCTAGTTCGAACTAGGGTGGTAGTGTAGACATACCCAGAGATACTCCCTCAGCCTGGAGCTGGCCCTCAGGATCTCAGCTCAGCAGCCTCATGTGCTGGCCCCAGACTTTGCTCAGACACGCTCCAGGAAGGGCATGTCTAGGAGGCACCCATGCATCAGAGCAGGGCGATGGCGATGGGTCCCCCAGGGGTGTGGCCTGCCACCCTCTTGCTTCTCTGCCCGGCAGAGGGGTTTGGAGGGGTCCAGAATCTGACCTGTGCTAAGTCAATCTGAGCCCCTGCCCAAAGCTACTGCCTTTGCGTTCCTTGCCCTAGCTTGATAAGGGGATTGATCCAGGCTGGTACACGCTCAGGAAGGAGCCTCTTGAGTGGATGGGGGTGGAACTTACCCCAGCTCAGGTGGCTCATGCACAGGCGGCTGGCACTGCAGGGCACTGTGTGATCAGCATTGCTGTACAAGCTCTGCTTGCCCTCTGTGCCCTTTCCCCATTAGAGTAGCAGCCATCTGCATCCACCCTCCAGCAGCAGAGAGCCCCAGGAAGAGCAGGAGGGACCTGGGGCCTGGTCTTGCCCAGCACGGGGGCATGGCTTTGGGAGCCCCAGCAGAGAGTGGGGAGCAGGCTGGACCTGACAGTGCAGCTGGTGAGCAGCCACCACGTTCCTCCTCCGTGGGGGGCTGAGCGGGGTGAGCAGCCATGTGCCTCAGTGCACTGATGCAGTCAGTCCCTGGCAGAGCTAAGGCTGCTAAGGGCTGCTCTGAGCCGGCCTCTGGAGGGCCTGTGTTCTCCAGCTCTGGCCAGAGTGCCAGAGTGGAAAGGAGCAAGTGGTGCAGAGCAGCTCTTGCTGCGTGTCCTGGGGGCTTCCCTCCTGCTGCTCTGAGCAGCGCCAGAGACGGGAGCTGACCCCGTGTCTCCCCAGCCAGGCCTGCTCCTCTCATACACCCTTAGGGCTGCTCTGGGGGCACTTTACTGAGAGCAATTTCTCAGTCCCCTTGGTGAAGCCTGCCCAGCTCTGCAGGAGGGCGCTCCATGGGACCCCATCTCTCTTGCCGCTGCTCCCAGCCAGCTCCCTAAGCCAGGCTCAGCAGTGCCAGGCCGGTGTCTGAAGCAGAGTGGCATTTCCATTGCACACGGCCGAGGTGCTGGCAACACCATCGCATCCCCCCGCGCAGGGCAAGACCTTTCAGGCCGGAGGTCTGTGCTGGAGGATTGGTGGAGAGCTCAGTGCTCTCGTTTCCCAGGGACACAGGCTGGGAGAGCGGAGGCTGGCTTGGCGGAGACCGAGATAGTCTTGCCGTTCCACGTGGCTTCAGGATTCCGCTTCACCTCGCGTGCGCAAGCGCTTTGTAAGCTCGCTCCCTGCTCGTTAGCCAGCCAATGGAGAGCGCCGCTAGCTGAGCAGCAACCCCCAGACCCAGCCCCGTTCTGTTGCCCCTGGAAAAGAACTCCCCATGGCACTGGAAAGCCCTGGGCCTCAGCCAGTGCCCAGAGACAGGAGCGAGGTTTCAAACCCCCGGAGCCCAGGACCAGTATACAAGCCCTCCCAGCATCTAGCACCTATTTGTGCCGCTGTCTCTGCCCAGCTAGGCTGAGCTGTGCCAGTGTGGGGGAGGCTAGGAAGGGCATCTGCCCAAGCTGCAGTCCCACCTTGTGCTGCAGTATAGACACTCTCAGGGATGCTCCTTGTGGATTGGACCCCGGGGATCCATGTGACCTGAGAAGGGGGCCAGGAATCTGACTTAAGACGCGGCGTCTTGGCTTGTCAGAGGAACGTTAACCAGGCCAATGAGCTGGAGTTCTCGTGGCTACGGCAGTTGTGCCACCCGAGGAGGTAAGGCCTTTCCTGCTGCAGTGGAAAGGGACAGTCCAGGCCTTGCCCAGGGGAAAATTGCCAACTGAATTTCCAGGCTGATAGAGGATTGACGCTACGCCAGGGTAGCTGCTAATTGCAGCAGGTGAAGGGGATGCACGGTGCACGCTAGCACCAGCTGTCAAGGAACAGCCTTCTGGCCCCTGCGGAGAGTCCATCTCCTAATCCTGTCTCCTGTGCTCGGCCACAGGCCAAGCTCTGCTTGCAGTCCCACTGGTGTAATCTGCCTGCCCCAGGGCTCCAGGGCTTTGACAGCCTCTATGCTAGAGCGATGGAGATTGACCTTCAGCTCAACGGGGGTGTGAGCAAAGAGCCATTGGCCACTGGGCAGAGGCACAAGGGCAGTGTGAGCTCCTGTGGATTCTCGTGGTGCTGCCATGCCTCCTTGCAAGGCCCTCGCTGCTTGCCCAGGCCTGGTGTGCTGCTGGAAGCCAGGGTAGACAGGAAGAAGCTGCGTTTTGGGGTGCTGTGAGTGTCGCAACTGAGGAGGGTGCCTGACTCCCTTAGCCACGCGAGCACACCCTAGGCAGCAGCGATAGCAGCGCCCCCGCCCATCCGCCCGCCTTGCCCAGACTGGGAGGGGGAGGGAGGCTCC